AATTACCATTTATTAAAATTAACTACAATATTTTTTAAAATTTATAAATTAAAATTATATCTGATTCATACTTATTATGAAATATATTTAAGAATTTATTAGAAGTTATGATTATTTATATACGTTGAATTAAAAAATTATTGTATAATATTATTACTTTATATTATATATTATTAAATTAAATTTTTTATAAATTTTTTATATATTTAAATTATTTTATTAATTATTTTAATTTAATTTATATCTCAATATTTGCTTCAAATATTAAAATATAATTTGAATAAAAAAAATACATATATAAAATTATTAGTTTATATTATATATTATTAAATCAAAATTTATAATAAAAAGGTAAGTTTACATATTTAAATTATTTTAATAATTAGTTTAATATAATATATAGTTCAATATATATCTCAAAAATTAAAATACTTGTAAAATTATTAGTTTATAATATATATTGTTAAATTACGTTTATAATGAAAAGGTAAGTTTATATATTTAAATAATTTTATTAATTAGTTTAATATAATATATAGTTCAATATATATTTTAAAAATTAAAATATATATTAAATGTGAATTATTATTTTATATTATATATTATATTATTAAAGTAAATTTTGAATGAAAAGATAACTTTTATTATATTAATTTTTTATTTGCTGACTTTTCATATATCTTCAAGAAAGACTTTTTCTCTACTTATATAAGTCATATTTACATAACTTTTGAAAATTTGTTCACTTTCTTTTTATTGTCATATTTTTTCTTTATATTTTGTAACCATGTCCTATCTATGTAAGTATATGTATTTTCAAGTTTGATATTTTTTATTTTTTTACTAAATTGTGTTATATATTTTAATTTATTTTTGTGAGTAAGCATAAAGTCGTATTATTTTTAAATGATATAATGTATTGAATCTTATTTTAATTGATTAATTTGTATCAAATCTTTTATTATTTTCTTATATTCATCACAAGTAATTATTTACTTTTATGTTTTTCATGATATTGTAGGAGAAAAACAAGTTTCAACGAAGATAAATGAACTTTTCTTAATGATCTAAATTCAACAACAGAAGAATAGAAAATAAAAGTGCAAATATATGTGATATTTAATTATAAAAAATATGAGTGTATGTATTATAGATAATATTTATATTTTCACGTCAAGATCTACAAAGAATTATCTCAATATTGACATATCAGAAGTTACTCATTTTATAGATATATTCAAGTATTGAAATTATTTAAAATCTTTGTTACATTAATTATTGCTAATTATTTACTTTTTATTTTAACTATATTTTCAATTATTCATTATCACTTTGTTGAAGAAATTTTAATGATATGCATATTGCTCACAATGTTGACAAAACAAGATCTACTATTCTTCCTAAGTTAGAAAATTTCAAAAACATATATGAAATCTTGACAATGGCAAAATCAAAGAGTGATATGATAAATTTAATCTCTCTTATACTTTGTGCTTTTTATTTAATTTTTAAACTAATTTTTTAATTAATTTTCAGAATGTCGTAATTGGTTATATTACAACTGTAAACGATGTATTGCTTAAAATTGGTTGATATTATATTTCTTGCCCCTATTGCAAGAAGAAAGTTTCTTTCACAACTACAAATTTTAAATGTGAATCATGTTATAAAGACGTTGAGTATCCAATGACAAGGTAATTAATTTATCACTATGTATTCTAATTTTTAAATTTTTATATGTAAATAAATTGAATTATATATTATGACCTTAATTTATATACATTACAAGTTTCGTCTTGAACTTGATGTTAAAGATTCTGCATATTCAACTATATTTGTCTTATTTGATGAAATTGTTGAACAATTAGCACAAGTAAAGTTAAAAAATTGTATTGCAACATCTGAAATTGTAAGCAAATGTGTTAATTTCTAACTTCCTAAAAAATCTAATCAAATAAATGATTATATAAATAAAATATATTAAAACATATAACTATTTTTATGTGATAATTTTTTTAAAGGTGAGAGTGAAGTGCTAAAGTTGCCTCCACAACTTTTAAAGATTATTGGCACTTCATATATTTTTTTAAAATAAAAATGAGTACTTTTTTTGAAAGTCATGGAAGATAAAGTTTCAATGTAAATAAAATTGTGAAGTCGATAGTGAAGGTAATATAGAAATTAAATTAGAGTTTCATTATTTTCACTTATAATGTTTATAATACAATGATGAATAACTTTATTTTCATTGTTTGATATTTACATATTGAGAAGGAAGAAAGTTTAGAAAATACAAATGTAAAAACAAAAGAAAATGATTTGACAATAAGTTGTTCATCTATATCCTCTAACCATGGAAACACCAAATTTACTAAAAAAAATGAGAAAATTAATGTATAAATTATAAATTTATAATGTATTCTTCAAATTTCTTAGATTAGTAATTTATATTTGATATTTTCTTTTAGATTGTAACTTGAGGAAGATAAAGCAAAAAATGATAAACAAAAGGCAACAATGGAGGATTTAGAAGATTGAACTATTTTTATTACAATATTGTATAAATACTTTAAATATTGTGTAGAATCTGAAAAATAAAATGTCACCAAACATTTAAGTATTTTATAAAAAAATTTTGTAATTTTATTATATATATCTTTCTTACTTTATTATTATATATATTATGTATTGACTTTGTTCTTAGACAAATCTTATATGTGATTCATAAATTTTATATTATATCAACATCTGTAAATTTAATTAATATAAAGAATTTTTATATTAAATACAACAATTCTTCTCTTTTAGTTTCTACCTAAATCTTAATTAAAAAATTTTAACCACTCTTTTTATCTCTTCTTCTATTATTTTAATTTTTTTTAAAAATAATTTAATAAGAATTGATATATCATAATTATGTATAATCTATTAATATAGACAATATTTTATTTATATTTTATATTATAATAATTATGATAATAAGTTTTATTTTTTAAATTCAAAATTAACAATATTTATATTTAGTGATTTTGTTACAATTTTTTTTTTATAAAATGCTATAATGATGATAAGTTTAAAATTTTCTAATTAAAACTAATTAATTATAATAATTAAAATAAATTAAAATTTATTAAATATTATAACAATAAAAATAAATAAGATTTAACCATTCTATTTTTATATTTAATAATTTTATATTGTAATGAATGAATAAGTAAAGAAAATATAACGTTTTAACTTTAAATTAAGTTCAAATGTTATATTTAATTTCTATATATATCATTTATTTTAAAATTTTATAAGTATAAAGTATAAATCTTTACAACTATTAAAAAACTTTAATTCCTAGAAAGATAAAAGTTAGTGTTTAAAATGTTATAATTTTTTTTATATTAACATATCAAATTATATTTTTTTTATTAAAATTTCATATTTTAACTATATGATTAATCAAAATTTTTAAATTGGAATATAAATTCTAATACTTTTAAATTTTTTTATGATAGCATTCAATTACAAATGCAAAGAAGAGTGTTTTTTAATAGAAAAATTTAATCATTTTGTGAACTTACAATTAGTTTCTAAATATAAATAAAAATACAGATATTGTATATAAAAATATAAAATTAATACAAATATTATTTATTATTATAATTATTTATTATGTTATATTCTTAAAATAATACATTTTTTTATTTAAAAAAATTAAATTAAGTTCACTGAATATTAACATCTTTTTGTAGAACTAAGTAATATATTATAGAGATAGACAAAAAATATATCTGAAAATAAAAATTAAATTTCTAATTCACTATATCTACGTCAAATAGTTAGAACTCATCTATTTTTTTAATGGCAATATAATAATTTAATATATTTATATTAAAGTTATATTTATATATCTTTAAAATATTTAGAGATCTAATAATAATATACTTTTTTTACTTATTTTTAGTTCAATATATATATATATATATATATATATTTTATATATAACATTTTAAATTTATTTTTTAAATTTTATTTAAATTAATATTTGTTCTTTTAATAAAAAAATTTTAATATTATTTTATCATTAAATTATTTTATAGATACATTTATTTTTATTAATTCTTAATTAAAACAATAAATAATAAACAAACTGTATTAATTATTTTTAAAAATTAAAAAATAATTATATAAAAAATAATAAATTTATTATTTTAATTTTATTATTCAAATAACATAATTTTATTATACTTAATTAGTTATTAAATAAAATTAAAAATTTATTTATAATGTCAATCAATATTAATTCTATTAAGTTATAAAAAATATAAAATAATTTAATCATTTAAAAAAAAACTCAATTCTATATTTTTTTAATCAAAAAGTAAATTTCTAAATTCAATATATACGTTACATTATTATTAATTTTATTTACAATATTTTTAATGATAATTTTATTTATATATAAAAATTTTAATATATTTTTATTTTTCAATATTAACATATAATTTTGTGTATATTGATATTCAAAGTAAATTTTTAAAATTTCATACATTAGTTAAAGAAATACTTTATCTTTTATATATTAGTCTAATAAGTTATTTTTAAAAAATATGATATCATGTTTTAATAATTATATAGTAAAATTTTATTACTAATTTAAAATTATAATTATAAATAGATAGTTTATCATATAAATTTAATTTAACAAATATAAATAAATATATAAATAAAATAGAGATAAGACCTTTAAAATAGAAATTCTTATTTTATTATATGCAGATAAAATAGAGATAAGACCTTTAAAATAAAATAAAGAAATTATATGAATTAATTATTAATTTAATATAAAATATCGAGATTTAAATTTATGAGTTGTAAATTAATAAATAAAAAAAATATGTATTAACAAGTAGAATTAACTAAATCCGAGACGCAAATTTGCTGGTGAAATATTGAGTGTGGCGTTGAATAAAACGCAAGAGCTTATAGATAGGAACTCCTCCGTCACAAATGTCACGGACAATGGAGTGGGCGGCGAGGGCCGACCACTTGGATGGCATACCCCGAAAACTCGTCATAGCGGCTGTGGGCGCCTTCGCCAAAACGGTGTCGTCTCTTCTCAATAGCACCTCCGTTCACAACGCCGACACCCTCCTTCGCCTCCTCCGCTCCAGACCCCCACGTGTCCCCCTCATTACCGTTAGCAATCACATGTCCACGTCAGCGCTTCTCTCTTGTTCTTTTTTTTTTTTTTTTTTTCTTTTTTCCTTCCTTTTTGTTTGTTTATGTGAAACGGTGCAGTTTGGACGACCCTGTTATGTGGGGTTTCAAGGGTTTTCCCATCTTCGACACAAGACTAGCTCGATGGGTTCTCGCTGCCGAAGATATTTGCTTCAAGAATTCCCTCTATTCATATATTTTTCGCCTTGGTAAGTGCTATTGTGTAGAATGCGTCTCTTAAACAAATCTTGATGACTAAGAACTAAATAAATGGACGGTTCAAGTAAAACGAACTCTTGTTTCTCATGAATATAGCAAATGCGTATATCACGTTGTAGTGATTCTGATGAAGTCTTTTTGTGTAGAGTCTATTTCACTTCACAAGTTAAACGAAGTTTGAACTGAGTGGAAGGTCCATAATGTAATACTATTTTGTGTGTTTAGGTTGATTTTTTTTTTAATTTATGCATCAAAATATTTTGTGTTTTGTTGTTTCTGAGACAGTAACTTGCACAGGGAAATGCATACCGATTACAAGAGGTGGTGGAATTTATCAAGAGCACATGAACGAAGCTCTTGAGCGCTTAAATGCTGGAGAATGGGTATCTATGTAACGTTTCATACTTTTTCTTTCACAAAAGCTTATCATTTTTATGATGATATTTTGGATAATTCATGTGAAGTGTTGATTGTTATGATCCTCTAGGAACGTACTTGTTCTTGTTTTCCTCGTTTGTTGTTGTTAAATGGGCTACAAAGTTTCCAAGTCACCTAGTTTATGACATCTAGTCGCTAGGCGAGGGCGGAGAGTGAATGATGGCCGGTGCATTGTAGCACGGACAATGAGCAGCTCCTGGCAGGCTTTCAAGCGAGGGCGGAGATGTGGCACAGACAAGGAGTGGCTCCTACAAGCTTCCGGTGTTAAGGGACACATGAATGAATCGAACATACACCGGAATGAGAGGGATCCATAGACTGTGTATACAGTTGAGGATAGCTTAAAAGGACTATCTATACCATTTACTTTTCGGTGGCCTATCACTTAAGAACTCTAAAGTTAAGCGTGCTTAACTTGGAGAAATTATGGGATGGGTGACCTTTTGAGAAGCTCCCGGGAAGTGTGTGAGTGAAGACAAAACACATTAAAAAGTCTTGTGTTGGTTTGTGGGGACAGTCACCAATCTTGAATAAGTTGTCGGGCTGTTACATAGTCTTTTAGTAACCAGAACATGACACATGAGCCTAGGGATGGTAGACCAGTCGTCCCTTGGCACAAGAAACCCCAACAAAGTGAGTGAGATGGCTAGGCCTAGTGGAAGTTAGTTGTTGAGGAGCATCCACAAGAAGACCAGGAAAATGAATGAGAATGATTTTAGAGGGAGATTAGGATAGAGGAGAAAGGGCATGAAAGATTATTCTCTTGTTTAGTTGTAAGCTAAGGGTAGAGGATTGGAGGTGTATTCTCCATAGGAGCTTACTCTGGGAAGGTGTTAGCAGTAGCTATCTCTTTTCCTTTTTCTTCGTTTTTAACCCTTTTATTCTAAGAAACTTGGATAAAATACAGTTCTCAGTTTTCACTTGTAATTCCTTGATCACCAAAGCTCCAACAAGCATTCTATACTGTAGATAATAAGAAAAGCTCTAGACTGCAATTGGTTTATTTCATTTCTAGGCTATCCTTGATGCATTTATGAGCTGAATTGAAGGGTATAGAGGTGCAGAAAAGGAAATAAATTAATATTTACTTGATTTTCCAACAGGGTCACTGTAAATCAATGTAGGTTAATGGGTGTTTGTTTTTCTTTTATTTGATTATTAGAGATGATTCCCTTTGCATTAATGGGTAACCAGAGTTTAGAATTAGCATTTTTATGAAATGTAAATTGTGAGAGTCAGAGATGCTACTGTGGTTTAGTGGAAACATTGAAAATATTTATTATGAAACATTTTCCTTTAAGCTAAATTAAACATAAGCTTTGTTAGGCCCTCAAAAGTGGAGGGTAAGCAGCTGCTGGACTTGGGCCAGCCAACCCAAGTTATGGCATTGGCATGTTTATTCTAGAAGAAAGAAATATTTTCCAGCTGCCAACATGGCACTGGCAGATAGGAAGGGAGAGAGAAAGAGTAGTTATGGAAATTTGGGTATTTTAGGAGGGAATGGCTTAGAGAGAGGCTACACATGTATTCTTAAACTTGGTGAGTAGGAGGGGGAGCTCTAGTTTAGGACTGTATACTCTAGAGGAATTGTATCTCACTGATATAGTTTCTGATTTATTGAATCATACCTTTGCATTTCCATTCATTTTTAGCTTATCTGCATAATCTAATTTGTGGAGACCTAAATATTAGTCCAACTTGTTGGATATCATGTCATGCCACCAAAGGAATGTAGATGCATTGGATTGACGTTTGAACCAAATAGAAGTTGTGATCAGCAATCTGCAAACTTCATTTTGTACATCGTTGTTGGAAAATCCTTCCAGAGTGAGATTCACAAAATCAAAGTAAGAAGAGGTAAGGGTGACCTAGGGAGTGGAGCATCATGTAACAACGGGCTAAGGCATGGATGGTGTTTACAAAATCGTGCTTCAGTGAAGAAGATGGAGCCATCTAGGTGGTGCAATCTATGGAAGGAAGCGGAGGAAATTTCAATGTAGGTTGGGCTCAAGCAACTGCAGGTAGGGAGGTATGGAATAGGGTGCTTGGACAACCCTTTTGAGGAGCTCACTATCTTGAGGGACGCAAGAGGGAACAATGAACAAGTACATCAAGCTTTTTGTAGTATTGGCGCTGAAGTCCCCGGCTAGTAGGATTATTTCTATTGATGAGAAACAATAGAAGTAGTTCTTGACCTGTTGGAAAGGTTTAACCTCGGATGGATCATTTAGGTGGCAAAAGTGTTAGGCCCTCAGATGTGGAGGGTGAGCAACTGCTGGACTTGGGCCTAGCCAAGACCTATATATTCTCCAGCTGCAAATTTGGCAGACAGTTAGGGATAAGGTAGTTAAAATTGGGATTTTACTTAAAATCATAAAGGGGAGTAAAAATTGTAAATCGTAAATCAATATCATAAAATTTTATAAAAATCATATATATATATATATATATATGCATATAAATTCATATTATGCATATAAATTAAAAAAAAATAGATCACTGAAAGCTAAGTGCCAGCAGAACTGTCAGTAGCAGTGGAGCTGTCAGTAGCAGTTGGGACAGACCCAGAACTGCCACCAGCTGAGCTTTGACCAGCACCTATGTTTGAACCCATTTTCAGACTTGAACAAGATAAGAAAAAACGGAGCAAAATGAGAAGAAAACCAAAAAGCAGAACAGAGCAAGATTGGAGCAGAGGATTGTGAAGATAGAGTCATGGTCGCCTGCAAACCAGGTCACACATTGTCGGTGACCAATGTCATCTCGAAGAAAGGAAAGAAGGAGGCCTAACTAAGTTTAGGAGGTCGGGACTTAGGTTCAAGCAAAAATATAAGTCGAGTCATTCAAAATTGGGCCATATCAATTGGCTTATGAATGAATTTGGCTGAGATCTGGATATAAACCTATAATTTCATGAAATCAGTATGAAATCCCGATTTCACTTGGGAACGATTATGTGATTTGAATCGTTCTGCCTTCCAGAATTGTAACATTGTGGATTTTACGATTCAACTCCCAATTTTACCTAACATGGTTAGGGAGAGAAAGAGGATTTAGTCACAGGAATTTGGGTATTTTAGGAGGGAATGACTTGGAGAGAGGGTATGCATGCATTATGTGACGTGGTAAGACTATAAGACAAAGACCTCTAGTTTAGGAGTGTATACTTTGGAGGCATTGTATCTCACTTATACAGTATCTGATTGATTGAATCATACTTTCACATTTCTCATTCATTCTTACCTTGTATGCATATTGAATTTGTGGAGACCTAACAAGCTTTCTTTCCTATTTTGGGCAAAAAAGAAAATCAAAACACCTGTGATTGACAAAGCCTTTTAATTTAATCTTTGTATGCAAATTTTATGGATGTCAATGTTGTAAATTGATGTATTAGAGCCATAATTCAAGAGAACTATTTTTAGATGTTAGTTTATTTGATGCTATAATTAGATAGATACTGACATACTATGTTTTGGTACCCCAAATGAAAAACTCTCTATACTAGTAAAAATTGATACATCGTTTATGAATTTTCTATGGCAGTTGCATACTTTTCCAGAAGGAAAAGTGAATCAAGAAGATGTGCCTATAAGGCGGTTGAAATGGGGAACTGCTAGTCTAATTGTTCGTGCACCTATAACTCCAATTGTATTGCCAATTGTTCATCATGGTTTCCACGAGGTAACTCAACGTTTCTCTACTTATAATTTTATATTATGAACTTTTAGTCTTCTAGACATGTTGTCTAAACCATTTGTAGCACTTTCAATTAACCACGTCTGTTGGGGAAAGAAAGCCTATAACTTATAAGTCATTGTCTTCAGTTGTTAAACATATCTGGAATTGGAGTATTTGAATCTTGTAGATCTGCAATGTGGTATTGCAAGAAAACAATTTAGTATTTCTAAATTATGTTGCAAACTAATCACTTAATTGGAACTTGGAAGAAGTGGTGAGCATGTATCTTCCAATAACTAAATGAAGAGTTAATGAGTGTTGAGAACTATTGTGAAAAAGAACGAACAAGTGTATAGTCAACAATTAATAATGCATGGTAATTATTAAAATCATTCTCTAATTATTTAGGCAAGAAAAATGAATGCATTATTGCTCAATGAAATTAAATATAGACGAGGCAAAAAAATAAAATGAGAGAGAACAAAAAGAAAAGAGAATTTTTAGCAACCATTATGAACTAACCTAAGACGTTTGCTAAGGAGTTTTCAGTTTATTGCATGACGTTTGGAAGATCACACAATATTGATGATTACGTAGCAACTCTAAGGGAAGATTGGCAATAACTTTGGAATGACTCATTGACTCTCATGTCTCTTCAAAGTGCATTCAAAGTAGGAAGAAAGAGAATATTGAATTGTGAGGGAGATGGATGGTTTTCTAGGTGCTTCTTGCCAGACAGTGGGATCTGTTTGACAAGACCATGTTTTTATTATGCACAATTGTTCATATGAGCAGGCATGGTCATGCATACAAAGGGCATCAGGGCATGAATAATGATGCACAATCATGCATTTGGTTGTGCATACTTTGGCATAAGTTGTGCAACTTCAAACATGGTCATGCAACTTCTCGAAGTCAAGTATGCATAATTTATCACAGTTCTGCTTGTTATCGTGCATAGTTTCAGCATCAGGCTATGCTTGTTTCAGCATGGCATGCTTGTCCCTAAGTCGTGCTTCTTTATGCCTAGTCATGCTTCATACCGTGCATGACGTACCTTTTCTTAATCTTACCATTTTCTTGCTAAAAGTTTCTCCAAATTCCTTTATTTTATTGCGTCTTCTTCCTGCACTATTTACTTTTCAAAAAACACCCATAAATTATGTTCAAATCAAGTTGTATCACTCCTAATGATAATCAAATTCACTTAAAATATACATACAAGATAACCTAGCAGAATAGTTCATAAAAAACATGTCATATCACTTTCAAATTGTAATTGTCATTGTAATTTACACTTGTGTTTGCTTTGGCAAAGATTTTTTCCCCTCGTGCTTGTTCCCTTCTCAAGGCTTTCAACACATTATTATTTTGATATAACAAAATTTTTTTCTTTTAATTTAAATTATAATTGTATAGGAAAAATGGTATTGATACTTTTTCATCAACTATATTTTAAGAAAGCTGGTGGAAAAGTATTAATACAAAAAAATAGATTTTATTAGATTAAACTATATATTTAGTCTTTAGAATTGACATTTGTTTATGAATTAGTCCTTAACGCCTAAAAAAATGGTTAAGTAATGTGTTTTGTTATATTTTAGTTTCTACCGTTATAACACTATTAACAATGAAAGAGAACAAAACATAACAAAATACTTATATAGGTGTTTAAAAAACATGCTTTTTTAGTATTAAGATTAATGTCTAAACATTTCAAATATAAGAACTAAATATGTATTTTAGCCAATTGTAATTTTGAAAGAATAGTAGAATACTGGAAATTAGCTTAGTTGAAAAAAATCTGTATTATAACTCAATCTTATTTTCAAAACACTAGATTATTGATTAATAAAGAATTTTACTAAATTTTATATTGTTACCTTTTATCATTTCTTTAAAGGAATGAATAAAATATCAATGTTAATATTTTTATTATAATTTTTCAATATGTAACCATCTCAATTTATATGTAATATATTAATTTTTATAAAATTTTTGAAATTCTATTTTTATAAGAAATGAAATATTTACTATATTTGAGATGTGAAATTATAACTTTATTCAAAATTTTAAAGGATTAATTTTGTTACATGATTGAAGTAGTAACTTTTCTATTATGATATAAATAAACAGTTATCATTATATTAACTAAATTTCATTAGTTGATATTTATGGTAACTTTTTTTTATCAATTTAATATTTTATCCATAAAAAAAATATTTAGGCGTATCTAGTTTTTTTTCAACTATAGTAAAAAGTCTGTCATAAATAAATTATTCTTAGTATTTTATTAATTATAATTATAATTTTTATATTATTTTATGTATTTACCGAATCAATAAGTTCTATATCAATAAGTATGAACGATCTTGAATTATAAATAGTGATTTTTTATTTAAATATATGAGATTTTAGTCATTTAATCTCTATACTTTTTGTTAAAGTATACATTTCATCCTTAATAGTTAACACTCGTCTGTAGATTAGTCTCCATACTTAAAAAAACTTATGTTTTAGTTCCTGAATGAGTGGATGTTACATTTTAGTCTTTGGCGTTATAATACTGTTAACGGTAGAGACCAAAATGTAAACGATAGGAATCAAAACATAACAAAACACTTGTACAAGTATTTTAACACATTTTTTTTACATAAGGACTGAGTTGTAAACGAGTGTTAACTATGAGAACTAAATATATAATTTAACTTAATTTTTATTGTTTTGAAAAATGTATGATTGTGTGCCAAGAGAAGTATAGTAAAAGACTTTGGAAAAGAAAAGTGTTCGTGTGACATATATTTGAGATATAAAAGCATTTATGATGGGGTAATGACTAGTGTGAGAACTCCTGAAGGTGTATCTAAAAACTTGTTTATAAGAGTAAATTTATATCAAGAGTCAACTTTGAGTCCTTACTTATTTAACCTTGTTTTAGATGTACTTATAAGTGACATACAAAAAATCATCTCTAAATGCATGTTTTTTTGTGGATAACATAATCCTAGTTAGAAAATCAAAAGAAAACTAACTATAAACTTGAGCTCTGGAGGTAAACTTAAGAATTTAAGAGTTTTGCTTAAATAAAAGGAAAAATAAATATATGTATAATAGTTTTAACAAAAAAATAAGTTGATGATTATGCGTTGGAAGAAGTCAAAATTATAGATGTCGTAGTATCATAGGTTTTTAAGTTTAAGTATTTGGGTTTTATTTTACAAAATGATGGAAAAAATAATAAAGATGTTACTCATAGAATATAAGTTGGGCTGTTATAATGGAAAAAGGTGTTGCGAGTTGTTAGTGATTATAAAGTATTTACTAAGCTTAAAGAAAAGTTTTATCTTATTATTATTCAATGAGCGATTATATATGTTAATGAATGCTTGGCTTTAAAGAAACATAAGGAAAAAAAGTAGAAGTTGTAGAAATGAGAATGTTAAAATGAATAAGTAGTCACACAAAAAAGGACAAAATAATAAATGACCTCGTACATTGGAGTAACACCTATTATAAAAAAAAATAGAAAATTGACTAAGATAGTTTGGACACATGTAAAAGTCACTAGAGGCATTAATGAGAAAAGTGAATAACATAATTTTTAGTCTGATGAAAAAAGCAGAGACTTAGAAGGACTTTGAAAAAAAATATTAAAAGGGATCTTATGGTATATAACATTTCAAAAGATTTGATTTCTGATCGAGTTCAATGGTATTGTGTTGTGTAATCTATGCGGTAGATTTCACCTAACTCTATTATTATAATTTATATAGGTTTCTTGTTATTAACATTAGCAAGAGAACATTTCTATAAGGAGAAAGATGAAACATTTCTATAATGTTTCACTATTTTGTGATAAATTTTCATAATATAATATTATATTGACCAGCCCACAAACTAAATAGTTTTGTGCGTTAAGTAAGACTGGAGTTGCAATTGTTTTTCTATACATGTTTGCAAAATTGAGCATTTTCGAAAATTCCTGACATACTTTTTTCTAAAGTTCTTTTATTATTTACTTCATAAGGCATTTTCTCTACCCATAAAAATTCTATACATGCCTAACTGTGATTTGTGAATATGCAAGTGTCTTCATGGTTTTCTTTTGTGCATGTTTTTGGTCTATCAAATTCTTGCTTGTTTGATGATTGAACAGTCGCAATGAGTGCTCATTTTCTTGGTGAGAACGTATTTGATTTTGTTGTAAGCTGTTTGTTTATCCTGGTTGTTGGTAAATAATGCTAGGTTCTGCTTATATTTATAGGTGATGCCAGAGAAATATTTGTTTGGTAGACGGCCCTTTTTACCCTTGTGTAATAAGAAAATCGACATAATTATTGGTGATCCAATAGAGTTTGACCTTCCAGCAATGAGGCAAAAGGCTATTTCCCAGTCTCGTAGGGAGTCATTCCCTACCATTGGATGGCCCACTACTGATGGTTTGGATGAAGCAGCACAAAGATATCTCTACACTACAATTTCAGAGCAAATCCGTGCTGCCATGGAGAGATTAAGGTGTTTTGGTAAAAGTTGTGGGAAGTCGTAGGTTCAAACCTACCGAAGTTTTTTCAGATCAAGAGTTTGCTATTTGTATCATTTTTTGTTATTGGTTGAGTGAGAGCTCTTAACTTCGGCTTCTTATAATGGAGTGACATTATTTTTTTGGGGTAACAATATCAAGTGTCATTCGATGGGGGAGGTACATGCCCTCTCCATGCAAAGCCCAAAATTAGATGGGCTAGAATTTCAACATCCAAATTTTCAAAAAAGAGTTTCAGTCCAGAGGTAGTAACTTTGGATAGTTTACAAGAACGTGAATGGATTTTGATCATTAGCATTTTAGTAGAGTTATATGAATAGATTAATAAACAGCTGGGACTGGCATTTCGGGGGTTACACAATTCGAGTGTGTCTAATTGTTCATTTCTTTCTGTGTAATGTACAATATTCCAATTCATGGTTTCATATGATGTGCGTATTCTCCTTGTTTATTTGTCCACATGGTGCTGGTCCTATTTAGTTTGATCCCTTCTTTTGTTGGTTGTGAACATTTCTCTTTCTTTTGCTAATAAATTTACTGCAAAGAGCGGAAAACAAGGGCAGCATCATTCTGAGAGAGAAGTTTTCAAAATTGTTACCAGAAGAGATAAGATGGCTATCAGGCTCAGCAAATCTAAAACTAACGGGTGTATTTTCAAAATTGTACTTTCATTAAAAAATTGTAGTCTTTTTAGATACGACACTTAAAAATCTGACTGAGGCTGAGGTGATGTCTGTAAAATATGATGTGTAATTATTAATGTTTTTATAAAAGGAAAAGATAGTTACCGGATGAAAATTGTAGTAATCTGCATTATGAGGATGGTGAATATTCACAACATACTAACTAATCCAACTTTCTTTTAGTGGGATTATGTTATAAGTAATTTATAATTAAAGATAAAGATAAATTAGTTATTAAAAGATAAGGTAATTAGTTATTAGAAGATAAGAATAGATTAGTTATTAGATGATAAGGATAGATTTAATTAAGAAATAAGGGTTATAAATAAGATCTCGGTGTAATTAGAAAGACAATTATTAGTAATACAATTATATTCTTGTGTTTCCTCTTTCATTCTCGTGTGAGATTGAGAGAGTGAGTGGTGTTAGAGGAGAACTCCAATTCTCCTTTAACAATTGATATCAGTATTGCCGGCAACGATGGACGAATCAACGACGAATAAAGATCTGGAAAACAGAATTGAAGGACTCGAGAAATTGATGGCATCCTCACAAGAGGAAAATTCGATGAACCACTGCAACAACAAGAAAGCATTTGAGTAATCGCAAAAGAGTCACAAAGCGGATATCGACTTGATGAAGGCGATGATGGCGCAACTCTTGGCCAAATTAAACATCAACGAACCATTCAAATCCACCGTAGAGCACGAAAAAGAAGCCGAGTCGAATCCTGACTCGAGCAAGATTATTGAACGAACCCAAATTGTTTTTCCTTCATTCGATGACATCAACTTCAGGGAATGGAGAGCGAAAGCAGAACAGTTCTTTGAATTAGAACGCACACCCATTAATCAGCGAGGCAAATTACTGTTACTATCCATGGATGGCAAAGCATTTGTGTGGCAGAGACATTACATGCAAAATCAAGAATTCCAGAACAAATCCTAAAAATCTATTCTTCAAGATGTTGGCAACTGTTTCGATCATGGCACTTATGATGACCCAATTGCTGAATTATCTCGTTTGAAACAATCAGGATCATTACATGAGTACCTGGAAAAATTTGATAACCTGCTTGCTCGAGTTGCACTATCCGAAGACATGGCCATCAGCTTCTTTCTTGTTGGATTGGAAGTTCAGTTGGAGAAATCTGTGCGAATTCACAACCCCAAATCAGTGCAAGAAGTTGTTCGATTGGCAAAATTACAAGATGATGTCATTAAGGAATTAAAGAAAAAGATATTAACAGGAAAATCAATTACTTCTGATTATCAAACTAGATATATACATTCTGGGTCAAATCCATTCCCTAACTTTAGGAACCAATCATTTACTAGCTTACAATCTCAACCACAAAATTCTTCTGTCAATGCGTCAGTTACTGATTCAAAGGCTAGTACCAATTCTGCACTTTCTAGAAAAGAAATAAGTGAGCGTATTTCAAAAGGATTGTGTAGATTTTGCAGTGATAAATGGGAGAAGAATCATAGATTAAAGTGCAAAGTTTGGGGTAAGCTAAATGCCATCTTTTGTGCACAAGAAAATTCAGATGCAGAGGAAATTGATGATAGTGACAATGATGCAGATGAATCTCTAGTAGACAAAAGTTTATAATTATGAAATGATGATCAGGTACAGATTTCTTTGCATGTTTTAAGAGGTATAGCTGGAGGTAATACTTTACAATTGCAAGGGCTTATAAAAAGAAGACGTGCCCTTTCTGATGGACACAAGCAACACACATAATTTCATAAGTGCAAAATGGGTTAAGCTGCTAGGGTTGAAAACGCAACCTATAAAAGATTTTCTTGTAATGGTTGCAAGTGATAAGCCAATTGTGATAATCAGGAAGTGTGAGAAATTAGAATGGAAATTTGGTGAACACTCTTTTGTTGCTGATTTTCTGGTACTACCTGGTTCAACTTTTGGTGCCATCCTAGGAATGCAATGGTTTAAAACCTTGGGTGAAATATCTTGGAACTGTGCTAACTTGACAATGCAATTTGTTAATAGGGGCAGCACTGTGACGTTGACAGGAGAACAACAAGTGAATATGTTCGTGGACAGAGCTAGGAAACTTAAAGCAATAAGTTTACAAGCAATGTTGCTTCCAATTCATGGCCCACTTAGCTTTGACATAACAGTTGCAGAAGATGACACTGAATTGGATTCAAGCCAAACTCTTGAGTTGGATGAACTTTTACAGAAATATACTGAACTCTTTGTGGAACCTACTCAATTACCTCCAAAAAGAAAGTATGATCACAAAATCAACCTCATTAGTGATAATCCTATATGCCTGAAACTTTATAGGTATCCTCATACTCAAAAAGAGGAAATTGAACGACAAATTAAACACATGTTGTCTAATGGCTTTATAAGATAAAGTAGCAGCTCATTTGTTTCACCTCTAGTTCTTGTCAAAAAGAAGGATGCTATATGGAGGTGTTGTACTGATTTTTGCCGATTAAATGCTATGATTGTGAAAAACAAGTTTCCTATTCCACTTATTGAAGATCTTTTGGATGAGTTAAAAGGAGCAACATATTTCACGAAACTAGATTTAAGGAGTGGATATAACCAAGTTCGAATGGCAGAATCTGACATCTACAAGACAACTTTTAGAACTCACAGCAGACACTATGAATGGGTGGTTCTCCCATTTGGCCTAAGCAACGCACCTGCAACATTTCAGAACTTGATGAATGATATTTTTCGTGAACATTTGAGGAGGTTCATACTTGTCTTTTTTTATGACATTTTGGTTTACACAAAAAATTGGGATGAACACCTCTTGTGTTTGGAGAAGGCTTTGAAGATATTGGAAACAAATTCACTAGCATTAAATTACAAGAAGTGCAGCTTTGAAAAGAAGAAGGTTGAATACTTGGGACACATTATCATAGCTGATGGAGTTGCCCCTGATAATGATAAGGTAGTAGTTGTACAAGAATGGCCAACACCAACATCAGTGAAGGAATTGCAAGGATTCTTAGGGCTGTCAGGCTACTACAAACGGTTTATTAAAAACTATGGCAGAATAGCATCACCATTAACTTCATTACTGAAGAAGGATACTGCATTCAACTAGACACAAGAAGCTGAGGAAGCATTCTTGACCATTAAGGAATCCTTAGTATCTGCACCTGTTTTGGCTCTTCTAGATTTCCACCAACCCTTTACAATAGAAACAGATGCTTCAGCATATGTAATTGGGGCAGTTCTACTTCAATAAGGCCATCCAATAGCATATATTAGCAAGGCTATGGGGAAGAAGTTTCAGCTATTATCCGCATATGAAAAGGAGTTCTATGCCATATTTTATGTGTAAAAAAGTGGCTTCATTACTTTCTAGGAAATCACTTCATTATCAAAACAGATCAAAAAGCCTTAAAGCATTTACTAGAATAACCTCATACAACATTAATGCAGAATTGGAGCTTAGAGAAGCTTATGGGCCTTGATTTTAGCATTGAATACAAGAAAGGCAAAGACAATGTTGTGGCGAATGTGTTGTCTAGGAAAGGAGTTACAAGGCACTTAGCAGTTGTCTCTCAGTTAGTAAGTGACTTGGTGACTGACGTAAAAACTACTTGAGAATGTGATATAAAACTAAAAAAGATTATAGACAAAATTCGACTAACACAGCAGCAGTATAAGCAATTTAGTTATGATAAAGGCTTGCTGAAATGAAAAGGTAAACTGGTAGTGAGAGCGAATCAAAATCTACGAAGCTGAATTGTTAGCTATTTTCATGATTCTCTTATTGGAGGGCACTCAAGTAGTGATCAAACATACAGAAGAATTAAAGAACATTTATGTTGGAAGGGTTTGCAAAAGGACGTCAAGACTTGGGTCAAGGAATGTCAAGTATGTTAGAAATTTAAGAACTTCCCTCAACTTCCAACAGGCTTATTGCAACCTTTACCAATACCTGATAAAGCATGGCATTCTGTATCTATGGATTTTATTGTGGGTCTTCCAAAATCTAATAGTATGTCTATCATATTAGTAGTGGTTGATAGATACACAAAATATGCACATTTTATACCATTAAAGCATCCATTTGGTGCTACAAAGGTTGCATAATTGTTCATGGATACGGTTGTTAAATTACATGGTTGGCCAAGAGAGCTAGTTTCTGACAGGGACCCTATTTTCTTAAGCAACTTCTGGACAGAATTATGAAAGGCTCATGGTGTCAAGTTGCTTCGATCTACTGCCTTCCATTCACAAACAGATGGCCAATCAGAGGCTCTTAATAAGGCACTAGAAGGATATTTGCGATGCATCACAGGTGAGACTCCAAAGAAATGGTCGACATACTTATCATTAGCGGAATTATGGTACAACACAAAGTTCTATACAATAATCCAAATGACCCCTTTCGAAGCATTATATAGTTACAAGCCCTCCATTCCATGTCCAATTCAGCTTGCGAACTCTGTAGTGGAAGCAGTAGACTATACTTTAAAAATGAGAGAACAGATATCAAGGTTACTTTATTCCAACCTCACTAAAGCACAAGAACGAATGAAATGGTATGCAGATTTGAAACGAGTAGACAGAGAATATGCTGAAGGAGACCTTGTTTACCTAAAGATTCAACCGCACAAACAACGTTCCTTAGCAAATTCAGCAGCGAGATATTATGGCCCATTCAAGGTGTTGAAGAGGATTGGCAAAGTGGCATATCGACTAGAATTACTTGCTGGTACCAAAATATCCACATCTCAGTA